CTCTGAATGACAGAGATGTGGATTCCATTCTCATGCTTACAGTCTCATGCTTACAGTCTGGTTTACAGTTTGCTTACAGTAAACAAATAACAGCATGGACAAATCTGTGGGTACTTTTTCTTCCCTGGCACTTTACCATACTGTAAAGAATATGATGGCTGTTCTAGCGGGGAGATGAGGTGTAGATAGATCAAGAGTGGGGAGTGTATATGCATGGTGGCTGTTCTAGCAGGGAGATGAGGTGTAGATAGATCAAGAGTGGGGAGTGTATATGCATGGTGGCTGTTTTAGCAGGGAGATGAGATGTAGATAGATCAAGAGTGGGGAGTGTATATGCATGGCGGCTAGAGAAGGCATTGCTAAAGGAATCCTATTTACTCTGAACCTGGAAGGATGAGTGTGGTTTACTCAGACTGGAGGGAAATATAATAGCCAGAGAGCAATATAAGCGGTGAAAGTGCTGAGGTGCATTTTTACCCTCTTGGTGTCTACGTCCAGGCTTACTTCCTACCATGTTTCAAACAGTCTGGAGAATTTAGTCACTTTTATTATATTTTTCCCTATCAAAACCTGTGCTTGGGATTTGGATACATTAGCTAATTAAGGTGGTTAGTTTCATCATGATACATATGTCCTTGATTTTCCAAAATGTGCAGACACATGAAAGCTGGAATTATTCCATAAAAATATTGATTTATTTTAATGAAGTACAGCTTAAGTATGTTTTTCAGTGTTGTTAGGACCATTCTTCCTTTCTTTAAGTGATTCCAGTCACTTAGGTTCTAATAGGACACTGTGGTAGATGTCTTATAATTGGATGTCACTACACATTTTTACCTTTTTGTCCTGAAGAAATCTTGAATAGTGTAGAGGGTGGACAGTAGAGATGTAGTACCATGCCTTGGGTATATGATAGCAATTCAAGTCAGAAATGTCTAGATTCTAGTCTTGGCCCCACTGCTTCCCGAGTCTTCTTAATCCTTATTGAGGATCAGCTTTCTCGTCTGTGAATGAGGATGCTGGTAGCATCATCTTCCTCAGGGGTTGTGTATTAAATGATACCAGGAATGTAAGCTGATTGGTACATAGATGCTAGTGTTATTTTAGTGAATGAATGGCATATGAACACATATTTTAGTACATGACATTATTTTCAGACATATAGCAGGGCACCTCTGTGCATTGATGGGCTTAAGGGTCCTTATTTCATGTCCGTCCTTTCTGCAGATATGTACATCATCGTCACTGGATTTTAGGAGCAAATGTGAAATAACTAGTATAGTAATTTGGTTCTTTAGTGTTATAAATATTTTTTAAAAGGGAGGGAACAAATGTCAGTTTGTATTCCTTCTTATGCTAATGAAAGAAAACGAAATAGGTTTGGTCAATTGATGAAAGCTGAGTACATGTATTTGCTATTTTATAAATTAAAGCAGGTCATCTTACCTCACAAGGTTTTGGATTCCTCTTCTGTGCAATAAAGAAGTAAAACCAGATCATTCATTGCACGGTTTCATTTCCATGTAAGTTTGATTCATTTACGCATCGCATCACCATATGCATAATATGAGCTAGATGCTGTTCATCTATCTTTAATATGGCTGAAGACAACTATTAACTTGCTCTTTAGGTTTTTGTTTTCAATCATAGGAAACTGTGCCAGGTATTTGTTGTGTGTGCGTGCATACACACACACACACACACACACACACACACATTCTTCATCTGTGCTATGAATCTCAGCACATCTCTTTCTGGATTTGGTAATCTGGTAGCTGTTTTCTTTTAGGAGTTCTCATCCTGTCATCTTTAAATTGCTCCTGGGAAGACATCAGGCCTTGAGTAAAACAGTCTCTGGTCTCTAACTGGATGGAGGGTCAGAGCCAGAAACACTGAGTTAAAGTTTCTAAAAGTGATGATGACCTCTAAGATCAGAGCATAACTTTGCCACTCATTCATAGTTTAGAAGTGTGGCAGATCAAATTTGACAACAAATTGCTCTGAAGGACTGAAAGATATATCAATATGGAAGAGTCACAAAGACTGTGCTTGTGAAAAATTTAAAAGCAAACAGAACATTATTGATCTGTTATTTATCAGGTCAGGAGGGAGGGACATAAATACCGAAACCACTTATAATTAGGTTAAAAATACTCTGTTTGACATTTTAAAATAGAAAAAAAAGGTAACCATGCTCAGGGATAGAATGCACCAATTAAAAGGATGCTTATGAAAAATAAGTTTATTGACATTGAAGCAGGTAAAGGCATTTTGGAGAAGACTCTGAAAGCATGGGAAGCAAAGCTAGATCCTGCAAATGGCCTTATATCAAATTTAAAAGCCGCTGTGCATCAAATGAAGCAACAGAGGAAAGAGGAAGTCCTCAGGATAGCAAAGAATATATGCAAACAGCATAGCTGGTTGGGGACTTAACATCCAGAATATATAAAGAACTCAAGAATTAAGTGGGGAAAAGCAAACAACATTGTCAAAAATGAGTTTTTAACTCTGGTAGATGTTTATCTAAAGTAGACATAATGAGCTGCCATCTCACTACAGTAAGAATGGCTGTTGCCTCAAAGGAAAGTGGTAACAAATGTTGATGAGAGCACGGAGGAGGGGAAGCTCTGCACACCATTAGTGGGATGTGAATTAGTATATCTATAATGGCAAACAGTATGGCAGGTTCTCAAAAAATTAAAGTTAGAATCACCATATGGTGCAGCAATCCTACTACTGGGTATAGATCCAAGGAAAATTAAATCACTGTGTGGAAGGGATATTTGTACTCCCAAGTATACCACACCACTATCCACAATAGACAAGACATGGAAACAGCCTAAGTGTCTATCAGTTGATGAATGGACAGAGACTATGTGGTACACAGAGACTGTACAATGAAAAGGAATGAAATACTATCATTGAGATGATGTGGATGGAACTGGAGATCATTACATTAAGAGAAGTAAATCAGCCGCAGAAAGACAAGTACCACATGACTGCATTCATGTGCAGGTATAAACGTTGACTGCTTATGGGTACAAAGTAGAACCAGGTGTGGTGGTGTATACCTCTAAGCCCAGCACTCAGGAGGCCAAGGCAAGAGGATCACAAGTTTGAGGTTGAGGTCAACCATGGCTATCTAAGGAGCCCTGTTTAAAAACAGAGTTGGGAGTGGAACTGTGGTTACACAAAGCTAAGGAGAGGAAGGAGGGTTGGGGAAAGGCTGATCAATGGGTCCCAAGCTACAAATAGATAAGAACAGGAAATTTTAGTGTACTATTACATAGTAGTGCCCCTGTAGAGGATAATAATGAACTGTAAAATTCAAAAAGCTCAAAGAATAGCTTGAATATGTTGTCCATAAAGAAATGATAAATAGGGACCAGGAGATCTTGGCTAAGTTGTCAAAGTGCTGCATAAGCATGAGGACCTAAATTCAGATCCTAGCTCCCATGCAAAAGCTAGCATGGCAGCATGTGTCCGTAATGTTAGTGCTGTGGCGGTGGGGAAGGAGTGGAGTTAGAGGATCCCCAGGGTTTGCTGGCCAGCCAGTCTAGCCAGTTGGCGAGCTCCAGGGTCAGTGAGAGATCCTGTCTCAAAAAATAAAGTGAAGAGCAACTGAAAAAGAACCTGATATTAACCTCTGTCCTCCATACACACAAACATGTACATACACATAACACACACTCGATAAATTCTTGAAGAGAAGATATGCTTAGCCTGATTAAAACATTACAAAATATCTACCTATATCAAAGGTATGCCACTAATATGTATAATATTTAAGTCTTATGTTCCATCTAAAATGAATAAAAATACTTAAATCATATGGGAATGCATTCAAGATATAACATATAATAATATGTACCTGTTGAAAACTATGAATAAATTACACAGAAGGTAATGGATCAGAATATTAAGGGTTTTCATGAAGCTGGTAAGATCTTAGGCAAACTTTGATTCAATGTTTATATTTATTTTTTCTAAAATTTTCTATGTAAAATATACATCATCCTTTTGTAGTCAGAATAAAAATCAATACAAATAATATTTTAAAACGTACATGAAATCGTGAACCAGGGTAATTACATAAAGCTCAGATTACCAAGTAAGAAAAAATTACTGGGAAAGTTTGGAGAAAGCAACTGGATGCATAATACACAAAACTACAAACTGCTTATATAAAGGTCAGATTATTAGCAAAGCTGCTGAGTACAAGATACTGACCAAGGGATCAAGACTTCAGAAGAGGAATACCGAGTTGCTCATGCTGGTGGGCTATCCTTATCTACTACAGGCCTGAAAGTCAGGAGGGGTGCAAAGGGGGCCAGTAATAGAGGCCCTGGGGATCATCTGTGGAGCATCTTCTGATGGTCTGTTATTTAAGCTTGAATGATTCTTTGAGGGACCTAGAGAACATGCCATAAGAAGGGGATTTTGGTTGCTTTACCATCTCCTTAAGAAAATGTTATTTTTTTCCCCTTCCTTTTTGCTTAGGGAAACTCCTTTAAATACTCTGCTGGATGGATGCTTGTCAGGTGGGTGATGGAAGCATAGGGTTACCTTAATACCACCACAAATATTAATTTCCTAACATTTATGGTCCCTTATGCATTTCTAATCACTTATGCAGAAATCTCCCAACTTTCCAACATATCCTTGTATTTTTGATAGTCTATCACCCTCCTATGAAAGTCTCTCTTCTGCAAGAGGCTTGCTTTCTTCATTAGAATGCCTTGTTTGTCTGCTCTTAAGTCCTTGCTGGATTTCAAACACCCACTTTTCACAACTCTGACGCCCATCAGAGACTAATTCTCACGAGCTCACTATGCAGTAGCTGCCACTCCTTTCCAATGAAAAGACAAGGCTTACCTTTAAAAGAAGTAAAAGACTCAAGTCATCAAAAACAATGTAATATCCTGTGTGAAAGTCACGAAGCTTTGTGGTTTGAGTCCCTTGATCAGGTGCCCTGTAAAGCGGCTGTGGATGACAGAGACTCACAGGCTTTGGCAAGTGCATCTTCAGTTCACCTCACTCTGGCTCAAGAAGGAGGGGCTGGAGCCCTGGCCACGTTAGGACAATGACACTGGGGCTGCTGCTCTTGGCTCTCAACTTCTTCCCTTCAATTCAAGTAGCAGGTAAATGATTTTGATTTCTTTTTGCCTCTAAGGTTTTCATTTGTGTTCTTCTGATCAGTATGCTTTATTTTTAAAACTTGACTAACCTGTGAAATTTGAACACATTTGAAGTATAATTCTGCTTTCACAGGATAAGCTATTTAGAAACTCACTAATTCTCAGAATACAGTATAATACTTTAAAAAAGTCTTTTGGAAAAAAATTTGATTTTATTTAACAAGTGGTTAATAATGTCCCAAGAGATTTTTAGCTTACATTCAGTTTTTTTTTTTTAATCTAAGAAGTCTATGATAAGTAGATTAGCTCTAAAGTCTTAGAATTAGATTGCATGGGTTCATAGATCAGATTCAATTCTCCTTAGCTGAGTTTAGGCAAGTGTTTCAACTACCTATGCCTCAGTTTCCTTATCTGTAAAAAGGGACCCAATTAGTAGATGTGAAAAACATTACCATTGAAATCTACCTGATGACTTTATATCCATGCTCAGATGCCAAGGAGCTTAGAAAGTAACTGACTGTGACTAGTAATAATCAGATATATAGAGATTAGAAATGCATGTGCATCTTAGTGTCAATTGTATTAAAAATGAATTTTTCTGCATGAAATTGTATTTTAATAATGAAATGGAGATCTTTTTTAAAGTTTAAAACATCATTTAATTTTATGACATAGGGTTTATACTGAGTACACTATTGTATAACTGCATTAATTTAACTGTAAACCTAAAAATTTACAGCCAATTTTGAAAGAGATGCATCTTAGCTCTGGAATTTGTTCTTAGCTCTGGAAATTGTTATTGAATATATCAATGCTGTTGTAATGAAATGCTTCTTCTACTTATATGGTTATTAAATAAATAATTTTTAAAAAGGGACCAATAGTAAATACCATCTTAAAATTATTGTGAGATAAAATGAAATAACCCATGTGAAATGCTCAGTTCACTCAGTGCTTGCCAGCAAGCATGGTGTTCATTTAATTACTATGTCTACCTGAATTGAGTGAGTACCTAGGGGAATCCTGTAGTCAGCACAGAAGCTGGTACAGTGCAAATGAGTACTAAGTTTCCTTCTACTGTTGACTGAAATGTGTTTATTTATATCAAAATTCTTTAAGTTCCCAGTAACGATGCTGAGGAGACATATCTGCTATTTAGAAAGCTCTTACTCTGAGTAGCATTCAGTTCTTACAACTAGGAGGTATTTATTGCAGTAAACCATGTTCCAGATGATGAGACCCAGTGGTAAGGATGTTCAAAAGTTTGTCTAGAGAATGCAGGCTCCAGTTGTGGGCTGCAGATTTCAAGCCACCTTAGTCTCTAAGCCTGACTCAAAAGCCTGTGCTCTTGCCCATGATGCTCTTCCACCTAGCAAGATGTGATTTGTGTTTTCACAGATTTAGATAAATTCAGGATTAAATTATCTTCAGAAATCGTAGTTACTAGCAGAAAAAGTGAGTTATTTTGTTTGGCTGGACTAGAACAGGGTGCCACTCAGCTTGAAGACAGAAATGCAAGGAGTCCAGGGACATGCTTAAATAGTGATATTTTTCTCTGAAAGATATATTGTGAAGCCAGTGTCTTTAATTTTCTTCTCATTTATTTTGGTGGTGCAGACTACATTAGGTGTTATTCTTACATTCCATGCATGCTCTCTCCAAAGAGTATTGTTTTCCAACTTGCAGAGGAACAATAGTTAGAAATAGGCAACCATCTATTATTGTGTTGCCTCATGTACCAGTGGACATGAATTCTGTATATTTATAAATGATGTCGATAAAATGATAGACGTGAACTAGCGCTAAGTTATGCCCCAGTATTTGGTACCACACATTGAGAGTTAAAGAATCTTTAACATTTACTTTGAAAAGGTTATTGTGCTTCCTATTTAAGGGTTTTTAAAAGTCTCTTTTGAAGGAATATTTGAACATCTTAATTTATTAGACAGTAAAGGGAAACCCCAACCCTAGTGAAAACTATTCACCATTGGTAATTATACACAAAATTCTTTTCTGGTATGCTTTGTGGATAACCGTCTGTCATCAATTTGTTTTCTTTTGAAGGTTTTTTGGTAAGACTCAAAGCTTTGTATATTTTTTTTTCCTTTAGAATCTTTATTAGAAGGATAGCCAAAAAAGCTGTCAGAGTGTTCACACATGCAGAACACTTATTTTCTATTCTGAGATACATATATTTTTCAGACGCCAATTTACTTTCCTCCTAACTTTTAGGGTTTGATGCTGAGTGATCATTAATGAGGCAGGACAGGGTGGAGGTGGAAGATGTTTGTGAAATGCCTCTTCCTGTAAGAAAACCTGTAAGAAGGAAGAAAATTACAGCATGCAAAATGTATAGCCTACTTTTGCAAAATGGTTTAAAGCCTTCTGTATGTTTTTTGTCTCTCTCTTCATGATCACCACTCCCTACAAAGAAATTTTGCATAAGGAAATCCAGAATGTTATTGCTCGGGGCTCAGTTAGTACAGCGCTTGTTAGCATACATGAAGCCTTGAGTTCACTCCCGACACAGCATAAACCAGGTGTAGTAGCACACTCCTGTACTCCACTGGAGGTAGGAAGATTAGAAGAATCAAGATCATCCTTGGCTACATCGAAAGTTAAAGGCCAACCTGGGCTACATGAAACTTTTTTTTTTAAGTAACTGTCCTTGACTTTCCTGGAGCTATGGCTATTATGTCTGTACTGAAGTATTTGAGTGTGTGTCTCTGTGTGTATGCATGTCTGTGAGTGTATATTTGTGTCTGTGAATGTGTGTGTGTGAGAGTATGTGTGTGTGTGTGTGTGTGTGTGTGTGTATATGTGTGTGTGTGTATATTTGTTTCTGTGTGTGTGTGTGTGTGAGTGTGTGTGTGTGTGTGTGTGTGTGTGTGTGTGTGTGTGTGTGTGTGTGGTGTATGTGAAGGCAGGTCTCTATTTCCATTAGTTTAGTAATTTTCACTCATTGGCTCACAGCATAACTTAAAATGCTTATCTGATGAGGGCCAAATCTAACCTGATTCTTCATGAGCTGATTGATGCTGTGGAAGGATCTTTATGCCTAAATTAAAGAAATATGATTTAGGAAGAGTTAGGAAACTGTAACTTAGATAATTGCTTTGTTAAAGTTACATGTTTTATGTGAATTGGATAATGGTGCAACTGAGATACCCAATGACAAGATTTTGTTGGACTTTGGAGTATGAGTCCAGCTTGCAACTGCAGGCTCCTGAAAGCAAAATGATTTGCCATTGATGGGAAGAGTGTGTGTGTGGATAACACTTGTGATTAGTCATATATATTTTAAAGCTAGAATTGGTGATTTTTCAGTAAGCTGATCATGTGGGAGGGAGACACAAATTGGGATAGCACCCAACTCCATGAGAGCATTTCTTTTCACCTCTCCCCAAATCTTAGCAGATAAACTATGTTAAAGTGGCCAGTTTGATACTACATCTACCACTCAGCACTTCTTTTCCTAAGGGAGGCACAGACAGTGGGAAAATGATTGGCATTTAATAAAAATCATATCTGCAAAGCAAAGTAATTAAAAACTTCACCTTTAGCTCAGTCTTCAGTAAGTGGTTTCCTCTGTGGTAGTTGTGCACAAAAAAAGCAATTTACTTCTTGTAGTTAAGTGTTGCTTGGGGGGCTAGCTTGGGAAAGTAAGATAAAAAGATGAACATGGAAAAATGAAATTTATTAAACATTGCTATATTTATATGACTTCTAATGCACTATAGCCAGATTTTTTTGCTTGTTTAAAAAACAGACTGGGCGTTTTCTCATTTGAAGTAAATTTGGTCGGTATTTAAAAATACAAAATTTGCTTAAGAATTTGGTTTACTCCCATGCCCTAAGTTAATATGCTATCTTTTCTAATATTTTTTAAAGGCAACCATCCAGTAAAGACTTTTACAGCAAGGACTGTTAAAATTAATATCGATAGATCAGTTCCAGGAACTAGAATGAGTCATTGCCCCAGACAGATCAAAAGAAGAAATGAATCTGTGATTGTAACTGTGAACAGCTCACATGCAAAGTTTTGCCATGGGTGGGGAAGGGATCTTGCTGTCCCCTCTTCTTTGATAGATTTTCCTTTTTAGTGTCTTTTACCTATTTTCATAAGTGAAGACATTCCCTGTGATTATACATTTGACATTTGTCTTGGTGGATATCTTCTTTCAAATATTCTTGTATGCAATGTGCTGGCATTTACAAAATGAAGAAAAATTTATACCATTAATATCCTAGAAGAAAATTTCAATTGTGGTTTATCATTTCTAAAGCAATAATTCTTTCAAATATTTATTAGTATAGGCATTGGGGAGGATGTATATTTCATTTGTCTAGAACTCAAAAAGTATTGCAAGGGACAACACTTTTTCTCCTTCTCATCTCAGTTAAATTGTAGTTTTCCCTTTTTTAAAAAAAAATTTATTCACAGAGATTGAAACTTTTCTATAGAGTGTTTAGTTAAACTCGGGGAAAAATGACAGCTAGATGCTTTGGTGACTCACTGGAGGAGGCTTTGGTTTCCTAAGCCATATGAAGGTTTCTTTGTCTCTTTTATGGCATTTCTTGGACTCTTTGGTCAATGATGTGGTATTGGGACCACTGCCAAACACCCACCCACCCAATCAACCAACCTACTAACCAACCAAAACAAAGGGACAAAAGAACAAAAATTGAACATACCTAAATTGAACTTTTAGTCTGAGACCTGTTGAATAGGAATCAGTCCTTGACACTATAGGGACAGTATATCAGGCCTCAGAAAAAAGCATTCACAAGGTGGGTGTCCAGTTTTTCCTTTGTTACTCTCATTTTAATGACTACTCTAGAGGAGGGATGTGCTAGGAGGGATGAAGAACTACTCAGTTTTTTAGCTGAAACTCAAGACAAAAACTCTAATTTTCATTGACCTTAGTAATTCAGTGCTAATTCATAGACATCTTACTTTTGTCTTTGTGTCACCATGCAAACTGTATGTGTTTAAGTTCTTA